AAACAAGGGAAGGCAGAATTTTAACCAACCAAGAGGGAGCAGGTTGTCAAATGTTACTAGTATGTTATTGGACACTTTTCTGTTGTAAGAATGTCATCAAGTCTTAAATAATGATCTGGTATTCTTGTTTTGGAAAATTTGTTACTTACAGAAAAACCTTTTTGTGTATTTAGACTGTTTGCATTTTGTTGCTAAACTGCCTTCCAAGACAGAGTGTCTGTCAGTTGATTCATACTAAGATTTGTGTATTCTGAAGTAGCTACTGTACGTGAAGCTGACGAAATAATTCCAGGATGATTCTGATGCTGGAAGAAAATGTTACTTTGATAGCTGTTGACATTCTCAGATCCTCTTTTACTGCTCTTGTGCTCGCAGTAGATAAATTCTGAATCTTCTATTTGACCTCATTGTAATGACATCCATCAGAAGTAGAAACCAACTACAAAATTTTGTTATTTAATATGTATGGAACAGGAAGGGAGATTGGTGTTTATTTGCAGCCAGTAGCATTCTAAGTACTTACTAACATGGACTCTTTTTCTTCTTGAAATTATTTCAGTAGTGACTGTGCAAAATGAAAATTTTGGGAGAACTAGTTTTAATTGCAGGCTGTTTTACTCCATATTTATGTGACATAACAGAGAAAATAATTTAGTTGATAACAGTGGTAACTCCATCTTAGCTTGTGGAAGGCCTCTCCCTAAAGATAAATTTACCTCCTGGAAGGTGCGTATACTCCTGTCCACACATCCTGGTGGACTGGAGACAAAAAGGGCTAGAAAGATGATCTTGCTAGCTACAGACATATCAGTCTCACCTCGGTGCCAGGGAAGGAACACCACAGGCTTCGGGAAGAGTGGCTGGAAAGCTGCCAGATGGAAAGGGACCTTGGTGTACTGATGGACAGTCGGCTGAATATGAGCCAGTAGTGTGCTCAGGTGGCCAAGAAGGCCAATGGCATCCTGGCTTGTATCAGGAATGGGGTGGTGAGCAGGACCAGGGAAGTCATCCTGCCCCTGTACTTGGCATTGGTGAGGCCTCACCTCGAGTGCTGTGTTCAGATTTGGGCACCCCAGTACAAAACGGACATGGAGGTGCTGGAGCAGGTGCAAAGAAGGGCAACAAGGCTGGGGAAAGGCTTGGAGAATATGGCCTATGAAGAGAGTGAAGGAACTGGGGCCATTCAGTCTGGTTAAAAGGAGGCTGAGGGCAGACCTTATTGCTCTCTGCCAATACCTGAAAGGTGCTTACAGTGAGAGCGGGGTTGGTCTCTTCTCACTGGTGACAGGATGAGGGGAAGTGACCTCAAGTTGCACCAGGGTAAGTTTAGGTTGGATATTAGGAAAAACTTCTTTACAGAAAGGGTTGTTAAGCACTGGAGTAGGCTCCCCAGGGAAGTGGTTGAGTCATCATCCCTGGATGTGTTCAAAAACCGTTTGGATGTGGTGCTCAGGGACATGATTTAGTGGAGGGTTGTTAGAGTAGGATGGTTAGGTCATGGTTGGACTTGATGATCTTTAAGGTCTTTTCTGAGTGATTATATGATACAACTATACTTGTGTGTGTGTGTATATATATATATGAATGCAGATAACAAGTGAGGCAGAAGCAATTGTTCAGCACCACCCAACAGATGCTGAGCTAGCTCCCTGACCAGCAGAAGAGAGAGAGAGATCAGTTCCCACCCCCTTCAAATCTCCTTCCATTTGATGGCATACGGTCGGGAATATCCCTTTGGCTAGTTTAAGTCAACTGTCCTACTTCTGTTCCCTCCCAGTTTCTTGGGTCCTTTGCTGCATGTGGCCTTGGCTCTGTACAGTATTGCTTAGCAGAAACTATAAACATCAGTGTGTTATCAACACTGTTCTTCCCCTAAAGACAAAAACATATCCAACCAGTCACTCTAAAGATAGCAATTCTATCCCATCTGAAACTAAGAAATCCATGTATAAAGATGCATAACTGAGAGCAAAAATATTATTATTTTTTAATCCTGATTTGTTGTCCCAAAACAGAAAGTTTGTCATACTTGGGATAGAATTGGCTGCATCTCAGCAAATTAGAAACATTTTCTATGTTGGTTTCTACTGTCAAAGTAGTCCTCCTGTCTGCTCAGGAGTATGCCATGTCATAAACATTATCAGAATGTGTGGACACTGGTAGCTGAAGGTGGCAGGAATGAAAATCTTTCATCTAGAAAAACAATGAAGAAATTGTTAGCATTTCATAGGGGAAGTTTGTTTATTTCCTCTAAAAAAAAAAAAAGTTAGAAAGCACATAGTTGACATGATTTTATATAGGAAATGTACGCATTTGTGCTGTGGAGTGTTGGGTCAAATTTTGAAGGCCAGTTTCTAATATTAAAGTATGAAACAGTGAAGTTGTAGTCCTGCTTGAAGTGTGAATCTCAGTGCCCTCGTAACTGTGGTGTCACTACTGAAACACCCATTACATTTATATAATGTGCATTTCAGATGTGTTATCTGGCACTGCGTTCCTCTCGGTATTCCTTGCATAAGATTTAATCTAAGAAGTAGAAAATGATTCAGACTGCATCTGTGGATGCACACTCTTTTGCTATCAGCTAATATTAGATTAGTCTTCAGTACAAGAAAATGGATCAAGGAATTAACAACCAACTTTGGCTTCAGAGTCTTAGAGCTGCCCTTTCAGTCGTTTTCACTGCTACACAGGCAAATGCATGTTCAAGATTTAGTGCATGAGGTCTGGAAATGCCTCAGCTTTGCTCCTTTGTCGAATTGCTTGGGAGGAGCCTTGTAACTTCAAGAGAATGTCTGAAACTTAAATCTTTTACTGAAGAAGTAATTGCTTCTCAGTGAAATGTTTTCCATGTTGTGTATAAAGTAGCAAAACTTTTAAGGGTCCAGAATGGCATAACAGAGTTGGTCTCAAGGTCAGATAAAACCTCTGAATGATAGTTTAGTGCAGACAGGAATCTGCTTAACTGTTCTGTACCCTGTTCTCCTCATTTTCCCCAAGATACTTTGTTAAATGTGAGGGCTCTCTTCTCCATTTTTATGTATTTTCTGATGAAGAATTTGGATTAACACTGACTGAAGAAAACCATCATGCTCAGGGCCATCCAAATGTCAGTACCCAGGACAAAACTAGGAGATTTTATAATTGTGTGCTGATACTCAGCTGTGCCGAGCCGTAGCCATATACTAAATGAAAGGCTCTCATTTAAGGAGCACTCATCACTGCAATTAATAGTCCATCAGAACAGCATAATATGAGCATAAGAATAAAATAAATAGCAAAAGATGAGGGCATTCTGATTGGCCAGAAATGAACAACTGCTACTCAGCAGGAATTTGCTTATGGTGCAATTACTGAGAAATAGCCCAGCATTAAGTGTGCAAATCAAAATTTCCCAGCAGATCAGAGTAGGAAGGGAATAGATGTAAGCAAAAAATAGGGGTCAGCTTGATGTACTTTTCAGCAATCAGGTTAAGACAAGTCTTTCAGTATAATTATATATAATGTGCTTTGGCTAGAATAATTTAATTAATTGAATATAGATTGCAAGAGAAAATAAGTGTGCTGTTCAACTGGAGCAATCTGATGGAAAGCGATAGCATGATATCATTAGGAAACTCAACAAGCTAATCTACATCCATGTGTTGAGATAAGCAGAAGTCCCAACATCTGTTTCCCACTACTGAATTCACAAAAGGGGCTTCCCTGCATAGGGAATAAATGAATAAACAACATTTGGGGAATGTAATCTCCGACACTGAGCACAATGCTGAAATGTCATGAAAATGAAATAAGGTGAGAATGAAATAATGACTGAACTAAAGGTGCTCTAGGAGTTAGCTGGGATTCGGCTTGGCAAAGGAAACCCAGCCATGCGAGAGCAAGCAAAACCTCTATCCATCACTCTTCTAAAAATGTAACACAAGAAAGATTAATTCAGGAGTAGAATTTATGCAAAGTTGGCTGCAAGGTGGCATGAAATGGTTGTGGAGACACATGGAATCCCAATATGTGAAGTTGAAATGATATTCTGAGAAAAAAAGAAGGATCAATAAGTGATGATCAGACAGATGTCCTTAAGTGCCCAGAAGTCCCAGCAACAACGATTTGAATTAAAGAAAATGAATTAAAACTTAAATACGATTTTTTTCCTTCTCCAGTCTTGGAAAGAGAGCAGTAATAATGAAAGAGAAATGGACCTAAGCACTAACTTGCTGCCAAGAACTGTAACACAATATCACAGCATTTCAAGGGTAAATCAGTGTCAACTGCATTTGACTCCTGAAAAAAAAAAAAAAAAGTAAGAGCTTAACTTCCGTTCAGTCCATGCGGGCCGCTGAAATATAGGAAACGGGATTGTGTGGGGGAAGAGGCTGAAAAAAAGAAATAAAAGTCTTTTCCAAAGAGAGCAACGAGCGGAGCGGCCAGAAGTACGAGGAGCGGCTGCTGCCGGGCTGCTCGGGTCGGGGGCGCGGCGGCGGCTGCTGCTGCTGCCGGCAGGATCGGGGGTGGGGGGGTGGGCTGCTGTGTGGGCGGTGGGGGAAGCCTGCGCGCCTCGGCGGGGCTTGCTGGCGGCCCCACGGAGGAGCCAGCGGCCCGGGCTCCTTTAAATTGAGGGCGTTCCGCCGCCTGCCTTCAAGTTGAAAGAAAAAGGGGCCGGCAGCTGGAAGGTGAGCTGCGTTTAGCAGCACTGAGCCGCTGCTTTTTGTTTCTTGTTCCCGCGTAGCAGGGCAGAGGCTTTGCTTTCTTACTTTCTTTCCTTCTTTCTGTCTCTCTCTCATTTATTTATTTATTTATTTTTATTCTCTGTGCGTCCAGAGGTAGAAAGCAGTACGGAGGCGGTGTGAGAGCGTGCGTGGGGGTGCGGGAGGGCCGGCGGAGGGGGCTCGGCCGGGGACAGCTGGCTGGGTTGGAGCTCCTGGTGGGCTGTTCCCGGGCATCCCGCGATCCCGCGACGGCCGTTCTTGGTCCTGCCCCCGAGGGGCAGAGCCGGGAGCGGCGCTCGCTGCACTTATGGCAAAGCTATTAGCTCAGCCGTGTGGCGGAGAGGCCCCGAGGACAGCGCGGACGGGCTCGGCGGAAGGTGAACGCGGGGCGGAGCGGAGCGGGGTAGTCTCTCGGGCTTCGGACATTTCTCCCGTCCCTCCCGGCACGGCTGCGAAGCCGTTCGGCGGAGCCCTGGGTGAGGCGGGGGCAGGAGGACGAGGTCGGAGAGATCGCGGCGCGCGTGGTAAAGGCAAGTGTGGGGCAGCAGCGGCTGCCCAGGTGCTCGCTTACTCCCCCAGGCTCCGGATTCAGCCCTCGGGAAGCCCTTGGGGAAGACTTTGTTTCTAAACATCTGTCTTAGCATCCTCTCTTCTTTGCGTCTCCCTCCTCTCGGCTTGCTGTTGTGGAGGTGTGCGTCAGCTTTGCCTTCCAGAGCTCCAGCAAGGATGCTTAGCAGGGACCTTACTGCTGCTCTAGCACTATTCTGGCAGCACTTCAAAATTAAAACCAACCAGGTTCTCTTCAGTTTCCATGTGTATTAAGTTCGCAAGTGGTTTCTTTGCTGCAAAGTAGATGCTTTGCCAAGCGTCATGGTTTTATGGTGGTTTTGTGATGTGGATTGTGATTTAATAGGAAATTAGCTGACATTCCTAAATTCACACTGTATGGTTCAATATACAGGCACTGGAATGGCTGCCCGGGGAGGTGGTGGAGTTGCCGTTCCTGGCAGTGTTCAAGAGGTCTGGATGAGGACCTGCAAGATATGGTTTAGTGCTTGTGTCACCAATGGTGATGGGAGGATGGTTGGACTAGATGATTTTGCAGATTGTTTCCAACCTTATGATTCTATGAACAGAACATCTGATCGGTGTTGTACTGTGGTACCCTGGTTGGAACCACAGCCGCCCTGAAGCCAGAGAAAGGAGAAGTGAGAAGGGTCAGTTATAGCCTCATGCCTGCAGTCGATACTAACTCCAGGCTACTATCTCATTTGATTACTTTATTTTCCCTTTTGGCCCACAGTCTTATTTCATTTAAAATCTGAAGTACCTTCTTGACTCTGCTTGAAACCTCTCTATTGAAGCCTCTTGCTGATTTCAGAACAGAGATTTTCTAATTAAATACAAAGCTGATGATAGCTAGTCAACTTGTAACGCTGCCTCTCTAGTGTGCTTGCAGAAGGAGACACGTTCCTACTCCTTGTCAGATGTGATGTGACAGGTGTGTGTATATTTCCCTCTCCATTTGGTGGAAATGGGAACTTCTTTCCTACTAACTTTCAATGGCTTTTTTTTTTTTCTTTTTTTTTTTTTCCTTAGATAAGCAGAAAAGCATGCAGTGAGAGCCAGGCAAATCAACTAGAAAGTTTTTGGACTGTGATAGGAAAAGGCTCAGTTTCCGGAAGTTGTAATTTCATGAGCAAGTACATCTAGAATATTCTTAAGGCTTTATTTTGGTCTATGTGAGAAAGACTCATTGCGTTCTGTATGGAAGAGAAGACATTATCAACGCAATTAAGTTCTTTCTACTAGGCACAGTCTTAGAAATATCCAGGCTTTCAATGATTAGCTCAGATTTTTGTGCAGTTAACTTTGTTCTGGTCTGGCTTCAGACCAAGGGCCTTACAGGTCTAAAGTATCAGTGTGCTCTTTTTGCCAGATTCTGTATCCTCTGCTCTGAGCACTGTGCACACTTGTAGCAAGTCTATTCATAACGTAAAGGACAAAGGCTTCTTGTGATTAAAGTTTACTTTATCAGTGCAGATCACATTTTGATGTAAACCCTTAAAAATTCTAATTGATTAATGAGTTTCAGATGGTGGTTCCCCTCCAGTGCCCCTCCCAGCATGTACAGTGTGCTCCAAGTTGAGTTGGGAAAGCTCCAGGAACCTTGGGCTAAATTGGTTGTGGCCTAGTTTATAAGGATAATAAAATAACTAGAAAAATTGAACTTCCCTTCAGAAATACACTTGCTGCATCTATGAGCGTATGGTTTATCTTCTTGTTTATGGTGGCAAGAAAGTAAGATAATAAATATACATATTTAAGGTAAAGCAGACAAGAATGATCTGTTGTTCAGTAGCTCTTCAAGAAGAGTTTTGAGATGTGGAGGCAGAATCATAGTGATTTAAGAGTGATTCAGTTTGCTTTTACATATAAGGAACCTAAAGGAAAGGTGACTTTTGTTCCGTAGTAAACTGAAAATTGCAGGTGATAAAGGTTGGTTGAGTTGATCTACCAGTGAGTAACTGGCTTCTGATTGTTTTCCTACTGCTTCTTTTAGTCTCAGGTACCTCAAGTAGCGTAGCTTTCATGATTCCACTTAGGGAAGTTATTTCACTGTCTAGCAGATCTCACCATTGGGAAGTGTCCTGACATCACAAAAACCAATTACAAGAGTTGTTAGTTATGTATGTGGCTCTCAAAAGAAGACGTTCCTATATGTTATTTCTTTCCCCCCATTGTTTTTGCCTCTAAGTGTCTGTGCCCGTGCATATGTATGTAATTGAGAGTATGGAAAAAACAAAGAGCAGTTTTCAGTCTGCAAACTTAACGTATTCTCTCCAAATCTGAAAAATATGTTAACAACAAGATATAAAAACTAGAATCAGTTTTCAACAGTGAATGTGCTGATGCTTAAACTTGCTAAGTGTATGAAAGTAGCACTTGCTTATTTGTAAGTGCCAACTGCAAGAACAAGTCCCACTTTATGGGCAGCCTCATTTCTGGTCACACAGATGTGTGTTTTGTTGCTACAGATCTATTTATGAATGTTGGGTCTTATTTAAGCTCCTTTTGCACCCAGCTTACAGTAAGCAAATGCTTCACGCAGTCCACTTAAACTCCAGTAAAGTTTCAAATTTCTGTTCTTTTCCATCTGCTTGAGGTGATTAGAGCTAGCAGGGAGATCCAGCAGAAACCCTTGCCAGATACTCATGAGCTCTGTTCTGGCTTTTGATCCTCTGTCTCCTCTCTTTCCAGGATGGCTGCTTTCCAATAGCATTACCTTCTCTCTAAGACAGCAGGAGATTGTCTGCAGTTATAGCCGATACCCCTCTGTCAAAGCCAATGTGCAGTCTAGTGTTCAAGTTACAGTTGCTTCAGAGAAAACTATTGCTGCTCTTGTCTAAGTTGCTGTCTTCTCTTTCTACCAGTGCCAATAAAGCTATTGCACAGTTGTCTGCATATTTTTTGCTTCTACAACTGAGTAGCTAACACACTTCCCCTTGTCATATTAGGGAAAACCTCATTTCACAAACTTAAAGCCTAAGTATTTACTTCTGTGCAGATTTTTGAAATAGTCTTTGAACCCAAGTTCCAAAGCAGAGCTATGCCATCTTCTGTTTAAGCTTTGTAGAGCAATTAGGCCACTGAATTGGCATACATGCAGATTTTCAGCCCTAGATAACTGCTTTGGCAGCCAGTCAATTACCTTGCTGATAAGCAGCAGCACCCACATGCACCAAAGCAGGTCTCTGCTACAGAGGCAAGCAGTGTGTCTCATAAAACTTACACCATGCTGGTATGGTATCAAGGGAATGTCATACAGGACCTTGGCATCAAAGATGATTTGATCGGTATCTAAACACAGTGCTGTATTGGCTTTACGATTTTTCCATTTCATAAACACTTTTCTCACCTTATTCTAACTGAATTGGAAGAGAAAAGCTTGTTTCACTAGTTATTTAGCTTATGTGCTAATTCTTAAAACAAGAGAGAAGATAGCTTAGCAAGACTTTGTCCCTGATCTGGAAGAACTGTAACGTGATGCAAGTTAAAAGAAATGGTTCAATCCTCCATTTGTTTGTTGAGATCTAAGGGCACGTATTATGATTAGGAACAAGGTTGAAGCAACAATGACACTTGTGTAATAGAACACTGCATAGTCAGCAAGTACTCAGTATAAGCACTGTACATACATGCTAGATTGATAGTTTGGAGTGAAATGTTGCTGAATTGCCTGGTTAATTCACAGTATGGAGCATGTGTGTTTTCTCTGTGTGTGTACATATATATGTATTTATGAACACTCATGTACAAACTTGTATTACATAGAGTAAAATTAATGTTTTCATCATAATCATGCAGATTCTCCTTCTCTGGAGATATTCAAGACCTGCCTGGACTCCTACCTGTGCAGCCTGCTGTAGAGGGCTGCTTTGCAGGACTCAATGATCTCTGTAGGTCCCTTCCAGCCCTACAGTTCTGTAATAATACTCTGTCTTTCTTGAAAAATAGTGTTACCAAAATCTTACAAGGAAAGGAAGGCTGTTGGAATAGGAAATGGAGTTGAATCCAGGGGCATGCAACTGTGAGCACTTAATTGTACAACCAGTCTTACTTTACAGATTAAGTGATCCTTGACTCCTGTGTGTTTTAAGTACAGAGGGTATCGTTGAATCCTTTTGTTGTTCCAGTTGGCCCCTCCAAAAGCCCATGGAATAACAGAAGATTATTTGTTTGATTGCTTTGACCTGATGATCATTAACAGCAGACAGTGTAAGTTACACTGCTGGCAAAATACAAGGAGCGAGCTACAATAAACACAAAACTAAATGTGCCACTGTAAACCCAAATAAAAACTTCTCTGTTTGATAGAAGTTAGCAGAGAGAAATATAATCTTTTAGTGCATTGAATCTGTTACAAGTCTCTGTGTGTACTGTAAACTATCCTACATGGAATTCTTCAGCTAGACAATAAGTCTGAGAATTTGAGATGTCTTCCTCTTATTAACAGAAAGCAGGGGGGAGGAAAATATAACCAGGAACAAAACAATGAAAAGTAGCTAAAGATCTCTCCCAGTCTGTCTTCAGAATAGTAGGGGAAAGCAATAGCTTGTTGAGGAGAAAAACATAGCTTGAAAAATACTTACATATACCTCGATTCAGCTTCAGCAGTTTATAGAAGGGTATAGCATTCTATAAAATGAGAAATTTGTTATTTGTGTTGTCAACAGTTTTAAAAAGCTGCATATTAATGAGTTGATGGTACTATTAGAAAGTAGTGAGTTTAGGAAAAACAGTACTTTTCTGGCTGCTTTGTCCATACCTTGCGTCTGCCAAGAGAAAAGGATGAAATAGTTGTTGAAGCCAAAGAGAATTGCCTTCTCAGCTGTGTTGGTGTATCCTTGAACGCTGCTGTCTGTCTCTGTGGCAGGATAGTTGTTTTCTCTTAACAAATTTCTCAGTGCTAAATTGTCAGTAAAATTCTTTCCGGCTCTCCAGAAAGTAAATATATTAAGATGATGGA